TAATAATATGGCAGCAGCCAAATCCACAGCATAAGATTTAACTTACAAACATTTGGCTGACTTAAGTTTACACTAGTACAGATTATTGCTATTAAGGACACTCACTTGTGGTCCAAACAGTTTCTGCAATAACAGGAGTTGACCGACCATGTTAGAATGTAAAAGAGTATAACCACTGCATCTGTACTTTGTTACATATTCCTTAATTGTTTTACTTATCCATGTCAGGTGGCTGAGCGTGGGTGCGCACTAAACCTAAATTGGAGTAGAAAAAGATTTAAGGCAGAGCTTTCTTATTCACCTCCTGCTCAAGAGCCACTAGAACAAAAAAGGAAAATTCAAGATGATAATTTGAAAAATTCTTCTAATGGGACAGATAATGATAATGGCACGCTGTATACTATTAATCTTAATGAGATTGGGTAAGTGATCTTTTTTCTGTTTTGCAAAACAAAGGCTTTACTTGGGATTCAAAATCATTTAGCATTTGTTCAAAAGCTGCTCAATTGACTTTACCTTGAATAATAGTATCAGACTGAGCATAAAGGATCCCCCACCCTCTGTCCCTGAGGGAGGTCTGTTATTCAGGTTATTCTGGATTAAATTAAGGCTGTTACTAAGGGCCGGATGCTGGGAATTTCTCTCATCTTCCATGACCATGAGCTCCAGCTACTTTCATAGGAAAACCAAAAGAAATTCCAAATTCTTCAATTTCCGGCCTGCAAATTACATATATTAGCAACAGCCAAGTTGAAGAGGTTAAACAAGTTGGTTTGTTTCTCATATTGAAAGCATCCTCCACTGCTAAATTTGTGGTATTTTGGAGGTAGCTACAAAATTGAAGTCAAAAATAAATAAATATTAATAATCTCTTGGGTTATCGTGTGAGTCCTAGATAAAAAATTTACTGAATTAGTCAATTTTATCAAACTTGTAAAGTATTAATATTTATATGTTTACTTTTTATCTAGATTCAGTTCTGACTTCAAACCAGTAGTTAGTGGTTGCACTTGTTACTGCTGTACAAATCATACGCGGGCATACATTCATCACCTTCTTGTTACCAAGGAGATGCTAGCCACTGTTCTTCTTATGGTGTAAGCTACCAATAATATTACAATTACATTTTACTTACGTGTTTTTTTTTCACAAAGACATCTTTAGCCTGGCTGGTATAGTTTACTTTCTCATTCCAAGTCTGCCGTTCTCAAGGGAATTTGCATTTTGTCTTGTCCGAAATTATGCGCACCCATGTGTTTGTGAATAAGACAAACACGACAAACAGTGCAGTTCTCCTTAGTAATATCACGTGGTCTGCAACGGGAGAACAAACCACAGTAGCTAAAAGGGTCTATTGTTTAGTTACGGTTACTTCTTCCAAATGCTAGATGATACAATTTGCATCGCTACACTAATCTTTAAAAAAAATCGAAGGCCCCTCTAAGAGGATTCTCACTGAATCTCAATCTCTGTATTCTGAAGACATGCTCTACATCATTTAAGTGTAGACAAAGTCCTTTTAGTGTAACCATTCAAATAAGACCGATTGAAGTAAATTTACTTGGTATCATTTGTTAATTACACAGCATTTTTCTTAAAACAATTTTCAAATTTTTAAAGGGTTACACTTTCGCGGGTGAAAAACCTAGCCATTCCCAATGATCAAATATGATTTTTTGCTCTTCCACTTGTCTTCTAAAAAATCACTGTCTTTTCTCTTTATTTTTAGGCACAATTTACAACAGTACTTCCAATTCTTCGCAAAGATTCGACTGTCAATTGAAGAGGATAACTTTGAACAATTTAAAGGGAATGTCTTAACAGGCCACCCACTTTGATAGACTCTGACTATTGGCTGTTTATGCACTACACACATACATCTACACCCACATCTTCTCATCTTGGCCAAAGCCTATACTAGAACACTTGCTAGTGTTTGTGCGGTAAGCGATGGCATTGGCCTCCAAGTTCTTAATCCACAATTTGTATTGCCTGAATTTCAGACTAATGTTCACGTGGCACCGGACGAATTTTCGGTAGCGGACTGAAAAATTTGACCGGACACTGTTGTCATTACTTTTTTCAACTTTTCTCAGTGGTTTTTGCAACTGCCCATGCGCAGAGCAGTACTTTAGCAAATCCGAAATGGTGTTCACAACGCGCCCTTCAATTTTCGAACGTACCGACTAAAAATTTGACCTCGATTATTGGCGTTCAAATTGTCGAGTCGCAAATTCCTGAACACTTCTCTCTGGGAAGTTTGCGACTCAAGGTGACGACTCAAATCAGGCAACATTTTAATTTTTTTAGTTTTTTGTTATTAATGGTGGATCTCTCCCCTCCGCAGAGGTCTCTTTGTGTTGTAGGGAAGCTGGGGAGAGAGAAAGAGCCTCGGCGGGGGAGAGAGGATGGTATGGAAGATTGATACCCTAACTTCGCCCCTAACTGAACCACCTAAACACCTAGAACATGTTAGATAATTGGAAATGTTAGGGCCGATTTAAACGGTACGATTTTTGCTTACGAATATCGTGCGCGGCTAGCATACGTCATCACTTTCCACCATCCACACACGCACAATTTTCACTTACGAAATCTACTATGTGTTGTATGAATGTCGTGGGCCTAATTTACACGACACGATCTGTCGTGAAGTCATGACGCATGTTAGTCGGCCTTTAAGCGCCCTTTTCCGTACCTTTGTAGTGTGAGCAACCTAAAAAACTGAAATAAACAAATTTTAACAGGTCCTTACGTGATATCTGACAACTACAGTCGTACTTCTGTTAAGGCTCCACCTTCAAGTTATTGGCCAGTTAAAGGAGTTCCGGTAAAATTACGTTTTAGTACTCCAAACAGAATCTTAAGCCCCGTGCTAACGGACGCAACATTGTTTGATACTACATGTTGCGTCGTTTTGCACACCCTGTTGCTTGTTGTTGGGAGTTGTTGCGTAAAGGTTGAAAGCGGTCAAACTTTTAGCTACGTGCAAATGGACGTAACTCCCAATAATGTTGCGTCCCTTTGCACGGGTTTTTACTTTTTCTGTTAAAGGTAGTGTGTAAAGGGTAAAGACACGCTGGGCTCATTTTGACGCCAAATCCTACCCGCCAAACTGTACTAGATTACGAGCGCTGTTGCCCACAGTGCTTGATTTAAATATATAAAATGGTAGTCAGTCTTTGACACTTGTGTGATCTGTATTATAAAAGCATCTTTTGTTGATCGGGTAGATTTGAAAAGCATCAAAATTATACACGCTGCCGGTAGATTTTACATTTTGGACAACCTCAATAAATGATCTCGGTAGCTTTCGTTTGTTTTGAGTGAGTGATTTGATGTAGTGCAAAAAAAATCGTGTTATTTCTGCTCTTCCGTCGTGAGGGTTATCTCATTGTCAGGGATGTTGGGGAAACGGTTCGCTTTAACCCCCAGTCTTTCCCAGTCTCCTTTTCAAATGTTTGCACAGGTTAACCAGCATTAAAAAACTAACATAATAACATTTTAAAAAGTTAAAAAAATTACATATATGATAGCTGTACAATTCACTGTTGAAACAAGTGAAATAATATGTTGAAAAAGTCTTATTTTTAAAACTATAATATAATAATAATAATAATAATTTATCATTTATATGGTGCAAAACAGCATTTAAATATGATCTAATACGCACAAAAACAAAAACTATTTAACTTTTTATAACAAGCAAAAATTATTAAAAAAAAACCTATTTGCGGGAGGCTTATTATAAAAAGCTATAATTTAACTATTTAAAAAATAATCAAAATTTCCAATCTCTCTTTGCCTAGTAATTTTAAAATTGGTATACAATTACTTTTTAAAGGATTTTTAAAACAGTTTTACTTTTCTAAAAGAAAAAGTTACCAATTTGTTCCAAATTATAAGCCTTTGTCCCTATAAAATCGTCTGTTCTGTCGTAATTTGTAATAGCTATTTCTACCACAGCAGGGCACACTAGACCTTGAAAGGTGGTCCAAATTACTGATCATTTTTGTAAACTTTCACTAAAATCTGAAACTCTTTACGGGAGTCTGAGATCTCTCGCTCAAATAGTTTTTCACGCAAAATTTTATTTCCAAAAGATAACAGGTTGTTCCTAAAAAAAAGAGCTGAAATCATTGTGTCCTTGGAGATCAACACTGTACCGTTCCTTTGACGATCAAAAACCACTCGAAAAACAAGCCTTTTGATTGAAAAGTATAAACAATGCTTATTATTACAATTCACGACAATGTTATTACAAATTACGTCAGCTTTGCTTATTACGAATTACGAAAAAGTGTTGTTAGAAATTGCGACTGCTTTTTTATTATAAATTACGACAAAGTTCTTACAAATTGCGACAACTATTACAAATTACGGCAATTATTACAATTTACGACAAAACAATCGTTAAATTCAGCTCGAAACATTTTGGTAAGCTGAAAAAGAAGCAATTTTCATGTTTCATGTTAAGTTATTCAACAGTTCTGACTTATATAGTGAGCTAATTATTCAATGTAATGAAATTTCAATCAACACTGAATCACTCTAACCTATCCTAAGATACGGATATGAAGGCAAATTCCATGGTTAAAAATTCCTCGATGGTGAAAAGGATTGTAGAAAAAAATAAAGTGCTTTGTTTGTCAACTGAATTATCTAAGGCTTGTTAATTGCTCGCTAAAAACGGGCCAATTTCAATAATTTAGTATTGGTGCTAAATTAAAATTTGTGTCGGATTCAGATTATTTTTAATTTTTACACTATTACAAGATGTTACTACATACACTACAATATATACAAGAGCAGAAAAAAAAAGAATAACAACAAATTACACGAATACTCAAAGCATAGAAACAACTCAGTCTTGCATTTAGCCTCCCCGCAGACGTCCTTTGGGGTTCGTTTGTCACGCATTCATTTCTCCCCACGGAGAAATGAATGCGTGACAAACGAACCCCAAAGGACGTCTGCGGGGAGGCTATCTTGCATTCAGCTCTCGTGTTTGTGTCCATTGAAAAGATTCAGCAAAGTTTTGTCCTGAGTTCAACAAAAGATTTAACAAGCAGACACCTCACGCCCGTCAACCATAACTCGCGGTGCTGGTGCTTTTTAGATGGCTAGTACCAATTGTTGTCCTTGTTTTACACTAAAAGGAATCTAAACAACTCCGAGCAGCTGACTGATTGGTAATTTCTTCATTTCCAGTAGCAAATTATGGATGTGAAGGTCTAGCTTTTGTCGTTCACTTCCTTGGTAGTCGGGTAATTTAATTTCAGCATAATTAGCCAGTGTTTCCCAGCTTTCTTGTGTCATAGCCTTGAGCTCAATGTTAAATTGAGATAGCAAGATTTTCAAGCCCAGCTGCGCGTTCCAAATATCCTGTCCGAGGGAGCCTTTTTCTTGAAGTAACAATGGACTTTGCACAATTTTGCCGACTTTGTAGAACTGACAGAGATAGATTTTTAATTTTATACTGGAAAACAAGCAATGGAAATGAAAGAAATTAAGCAGTTCCTGTGCACAGTTTTTAATTTTAAGTTCTGTTTTCTTACCATGACCTGTTGACTTGTAACAAGGTTGTTTGTTCATGTACATGTTAATGTTCCCTCCTTTAATATCTTGGAGGAACTTAACAGCTTGTCTGAATTCTTCATCGATCAGCATAAAATACTCAGCATGAGCTGTATTTGCATTTGGACCTTCGTAACAGTTTCCGTATCTGGCATGAAATATCAATCGCCCATCTTTGTCCGTTACTCTCACATAAATCACAACTGTCTCAGCAAATTTCTTTTTATCTCCGCGCTTCCCAATCTTGCACTCC